GCAATTGGACACTGATAAGAATGTAGGAAAGAGAAGGTATGTATAGGGAGGTGAAGGTGTCCAGAATTATTCTTTTTTTTCTCCTAAGCTCATCACAAAATGTGTTTATGCTGTTTTGGGCAAGTCAAAATCCACAGATACGATGCTGTTTTCTTGCTTAAATGGCAGATAGTTTAGACACACTAGGATCATTAATCTAGCTACTGCAATCTGGTCTGTTGTAGTGGGATGTCTGACTGTTAAGATCCTTTTAGCTTCTGATATCGAAATCCAATTTCCCTCTCGAGAAACTTCCAAGGGGGTATTCCGTACTGTTAAACCAGGACACATTTGGCAATCAATTGTTACTAGGGCAAAAATGGGCACAAGCTGTGCCGTGTAGATCCCCCGCCCCAATTTGTTAAGGTAAACAAGTAGGCTACAGCTTAAGATTGAAGTAAGGAAGCTATGCCTACTCAAGAGGCTCATAAGGTCCTTATTTATCCATCAGCTTTACCATGTCACATTCAATGGTTAAACCAATCCTCAAGGCCATCTTTACCCAGTATCCAGAAAATGGAATACATTTGTTTAAAAAAACAAAACCAACATCCCTTAGTGATCTCAACAATTGTAGATACATAAATACGAATCTACTTGGATTTAAAGACTATAAAGATTAGGGTGGGGAGAACCAGACAATACATTATCTTCAAAAATGCTTTCCTAAGGTCTGTTTGAATTATTAGAACGTATACTGACAATAGCTAACACCATTCAGAATGGATTCTTTTACATTGTTAGTTGACTTTCTCATTCTAACAAGAGATTCCAATCTCACAAAAGATTCCAGACACCTGTAATTTTCATCTGTATTATCTCAGCCTTATTTAGGAAGAATTCCTGATAACTTTCATTATGTTGCTGATGTGTCCTTTGAAAGGAGATTTTCATGATATGTTCCAAAAGAGGAATGCCCAGTCCTACAGGTTCAAGTCCTTTGAAAGAACCAGCACGACTTTTGCTATCTTCAGACCCAGACTTTTAAAACCTACATTGAATTGCAACTCCCAGAATTCCTATGCATCATGGCTGAAACTATTTGTAGGGCAAATCTCATTATAGTCATTGTAGCTGATTTCCCAGCAAGCTACCTATCCTTTTAGTACATTTGACAGCTCCATCTAAGAACACCTGAATAAAGTGTTCATACATCCGTTTTCAGAGAAAGGACCAATAGAATACCTGCTTATATAACTACTCCATACCTGCCTCTAATCTTATTCTTCAAGAACAATAAGCTCTTCATATGCCATATCTGAAAAGCACATCTAGGTAACACAGAGAAAGATTCCTATAGTTCTTTTGAGAGCCTGGAATTTATACAAATTCAAGGCTCGCCTGGACTTGAATAAGACAGTATTTGTTTTGGAAGGCTGCTGAACATGAGCCACTCAGAAAGCTTTGACTAGATGGTATTAGAAACAAGATGGTAGACTAGACAGTTATCTTCCAGATACGTTAGACTACTTCTTCCAGTCACCTATCCCAATTACTGGCTATGCAAGATAAAAGTGCTCAGAGCTGAAATATAATTGAGAAAGTTTGCTCTTCAATCTGACACTAAAAGGGCTTCTGGACTTTAGCTTTAGGGAACAGCATTCTAAAATTTTCCACAAACTATTTAATACTTCAGTTAGGAAAGATCAATGTATTATCATCCAGTCTAAATTTTGTTTCTCCAAAAGCAATTTAAAATGGTTTAGTTACAGTAATTCATCTATCCCATTATTTTAAAACACCTGCAAATTATGAATCAATTGCCATTACAGTGTTTCATGCTAATCTATTCATCATAAAGTTCTACGAGATCTAATAAAATTTGGCAATAGCAGATAAACAACGTAATATTGAAAGGGGGAAGTTTGCATTGCATGGTCCCCATTGTGATCAATTATGCAATACCAGATCTATTGCAAACTTGCTCATGAATAAGTGCAAAGCTCCATCTGGATGTGGTCAAACATGCTTTTCAGAAAAAGGATTTTAAATAACTTTGGGGGGGGGGGGGGTTGGTGAAAAACTTCGCTTCCAGAATGTTCAAACAAATAAAGGATTCATTGTGAAGCTTCAGACATTCTGTTTCATGAAATAAAGATGAGATCTATTGAAAGAGATAGTACAAGATGCAGAATGAAAAGAATTAGGCTCTTCAAGCAAACAAGAGCTTCTTTCAAATGCAGAGTTTCTCCAGTAGAGTTAATATGGCAACACCTATATGAGAGTCATTTCTCTTTCATATGTTGGTTTATGCCTTTATGCCATGGCCAATCTTGTATTTTCTAGTTTCAGTGTCCACAAAATGCACTTGCTTCTGTAATGGAAGTGTTCTCCTTCCTTTCTTTGCAATACAGAAGAGAACATCCAACCAATGATGAAACCTTCACCATGATAAGATATACCAAGAGTAAATGTTAGCAAGCAAGTTTCTCTTGGAAGAGAGCTTTCACAACAATTTTGGGAGAGGAAGATTTAAGGTTGGCTAGATAGAAATGAGAAGCACAGCCCTGCACAGTGAACTCATCGTTGAACTGTTCTCCTCCCTTTAAAAGGGTGTTTCTATTTCACTTTTATGTTTATCAATTCATATATGGTAGTTCCTATGCAGCGTTACGTAAATTTCAAACAAGTAAACACAGTTGTAGATGAAGGGAAGCATTTCACTCAGACACCACCAGGTGTTCTTAAGAGAAGGCATTATATCACCCATCAACTACAATTATAAGGGGATAACAATTCCTGAACTTAGTTTTTTTCTTTCAAGATTGAAGAGAAATACCCTAAACATTTCCTAGCCATTAGGAAAGTTGTTTAGTGAAATGGAAGCGTGACTGAATCACTCTGATGTAATCTATGTTTACCAATGGAAATGGCTATATGCAGTAGTCTGAAAAAGCTGAAAAGGGAGATCCAAAAAGAACTAGAATCCAACTGTGTGTTAACAGCGAGAGGAGGCATACATGTGATTTAAAAATGGGTGGTGGTGGTGGTGGTGGACATCTGCCTAAATCGGAAAGATCTAGGAAGTCACTTGCTTCTATCTCCAAATCAAGATGCAACGTGAGCAAGCTTAAGAACATCACGTTGCTTCAAATATGAAGTATCTCCAAAACTTCATCTCTTCCTTGAACTGGATTTCCCATCTCTGAAAAGCCAGAATGACTGCAGATGTTACTTATTCTATCTCTGCAACATACCTGTCACCTATTTAGCTGACCTATATGCTGCCGTTTTTCCTCTAGCCTTCATCTGAGTTTCATGACATAGCATCGTGCTGTGGACCAATTGAAAATATACTCATAAAGTACCAAGTACACAACATAAACATTGTATGGGAAGCAATGTGCGCAGAGGAAAGTGCTGTAAAATCATCACTTGTGAGTTCACCTGGGAAAATTAGGGAGGATTGCGTAGGTGCAATTCTCTAAAAGAAAACTAGTGGGACACTTATGGTTTCAGTGCTCACTCATGAATTCAGATGTGGTTATATGTTGGGGGTCTTCCAGAGATTTTGCCAACTTCATTTCTCTATGGTTTGAACTCAAATAAGAAATGGCTAGTGATCAAGATTCACAATCCCATGGGCCAAAATAATTGAACCAATGCTCCATTGCTTATGTCAAGCTTAAAGAGTGCTGGGTGATTCTTTTGGCTTCATTGGTCGAAGGATATGCCTGGGCTTTGTCCCAAGTCTGCTCCGAAGGAGAAGAGAGGGACAACTGAGTAGTCTTTCACAAAATGCTTGATCTTGATTGTTAGTTATATTTAATTCTTCATGGCAGACAGCCTTTTATGCCTTACTGACGGGAGTTTCAGATGCATTCTTTCCCTCAACCCCATTCTTCTTTGGATCTCTCACCTGAGATCAAAGGCTTGTCCAGGTTCCTATTTATTTTGCTAGAAAAAAACCTGACATGCCTATCTCATCACCTCTTGGCTCCTCTTTCTGCCACTTAGGTCCCTACCTCTGCTAGTAGCTTCATTCCTAGGGAAGACTGATACTCTTAAGTGACACGTCTGTAAGTTTCTGTCATGGCGGGAACAGGACAGGTGGAAAAACATTTACATCATAGACCAAGTTATAAAGTACGGTATATTTAAAGATAAGGTTGGTAGAAGACACCCAGTTTTCCTTATTCCTTGGCAAGATCTTGACTGTATCAAGAATTTCTATTTTTAGGAAAGAAGGCCATGAGTTATTTTTCAGGGACAGGGGTGATTCTGGATTCAGGGGTTCTGCTACTGTTCCACAATACCCACTTGCTAGTTGTTCTGTTTGTTCATTTTACTTCCTGGATATTTTATCTATCCTGTTCTTTGTCCCTGCTTCCTTCTTCCGATTTCATTTTCTCTCTTTCCTACACCTTTTCTCCAACGTTTTATTATATTAAGGTTCCAGGTTTGAGGAGGCTGCCTAGCAAATGGTCACATAATCCAGTGATACCACCCATAGTTGTCCTAGCAAGGATCTTCAGTGCCCCCTGGGGGGAAACTGGATCAACCAACTCCAGTAGATTCCCACAAGTACTTTCTATACTTGCTTCAAAAATTTTCCAGAAATATCCTGGAAATATCGGAAATATCCTGGAGAATTTTCTATCTCATTTTTCTTACTAACATTCATTATGAACCATGCAACAATAGACCAGCAGTCCAAATGTGCTTCTCCTGGAAGATAAATTCTCTTTCCCTAATGTAGCAGTTTTCTTCTCATTCAACCTGGGAACCCCAAGGGAAGGGGGTGGTGGATCATTCTGTTGTTGCAACAGGATGACTATCAAAAACGTAAATTTCAGAATAACTTAAGGAACTGTCATCCCTTATCTGGTCAATTTAACCACATGGGTATCCCCCTGATATTGACCTCACCCAAAGTTCTGTCCAAGATTGGAGATATTCTATAATGTTCTCTTTAAGAGGGTCCCATCAGATGCGTTGTGATCACACCAGGCTACCGGTCACTAGGAATTCTGGGAGCTGTACTCTCGAGTAATCCAGAAGACTCCCAGTGTATGTCCATCAGTTTTCCCTTTTCCATAGGTGCACGCTATTGTGATTAAGAAATGCATAACATTTTTGCCAAAGCATGGAGAAGGGCCCCCCCGTCTTTTGTAATGCCATGGTAAATGCTTACTCTTAAATAATTCCAGAAAGGGAAACAAAAAGGGAAATGCATACTTACTAGCACTGTCATTGCTGTAATCCCAGGCTTCGACCAGTAATGTGTAGGATCTCTGCAAGATAGTAATAAGGATCAATCATTTTTGCAAGACACACTTATTCCACTATTGTCTTTAAGTTTTATAGTGCACCTTCTGAAAAAATGGTTTGAACTTCTTCCTTTAAATTGTGACTTGCCTGTAAGCATAAATAGTCAATAGATTATAGCTGAAACAAAGGTGATCCTCTTGCAGCTGCTTAAGCGGCCTTATCCCTTCCTGGTTCAAGCAATTTAAGGTGAAAAGTCTCATCTTTGTTATCACGAATGCATCCTGCATGCTACTTAGGCAGGAAGTTGCCATCCCTTCCAAGGTTTTGTTGTTGGGTTACATAAAACGTGTGCACAGAAGAAAACAGCCCCGAGAGAGGGAGGTGGGTTTTTTTAAAATAAATAAATAAATAATTTTAAAAAGCTAAACATTTTACAAAATATCAATGTTTCCCATTCAGAAAGCCAGGCATGGTTGCTAGAATTGCACTGTCAAGGTTCAGAGCCATAATCTCTAAAAGATTCAGCTTTTCAGCACCTCTTTGAACACTTTGTCTAAAGCAAAGCCATCACTGCTCTCACAAGGATCAGGTAACGAAAGAAAGGAAAGAGCAGATGAATTTGGAAAGGGAGGGGGAAGGGGAAGAGAGGGAGAAATGCATAAAGCAGCCATGAAAGAAAGGGTGGGGAAAGGAATAGAAGGGTAGTCTCTCCTCCTTCAAAACCTACCTGGAGGAAGAGTTTAAAAATGGTTGAACTAGTGGCAACTGTGTGCTTATAAACTCATTAAGTTGCCCTGTGAGATCTAAATGCCAAGGATCATTGCTGTGTACAAGACAAACAGATTTAGGCTGGAAGGATGCCAGCTGTTCTAGCTAAGCCACCTTCTCTTTAATCTTGAATTGAAACAGGACTTTAAAAACTCAGAGAACAGAGGGATATCATCTGGTGCTTCCTCAGGTTTTGAACTTTAACCTCCCTATCAAAGTTATAGACCCAGCAGCGAGGCATAAGGGGACCTGCAACCCAAATGAAGTAGAGGGTGGTAGATATCATCTTCATTCGTCCATTCTATAACCAATTTTTAGATTTATCCTGCCTTTACTACTTTGTAGGTACCTCAAAGCAGCAGGCATACATAATAATGCTCCTTTCTCCTCAACAACTCTGTGAGATGGGTTGGGCTAAGAGAGAGTGACGGCCCAAAGTCACCTAGCTGGCTTTCATGACTAACCGGGACTAGAACTCACAGATTCCTGGTTTATCCATTATACCAAACTGGCTCTCTCAGAACTCCACAAAGAATGAATGGTGTGTGTCAAAATGCTTAGATAAGTTGGACTGGAGGAGTTGGGCAGTAAAACCATGAAAGATGTGTAGTAAGGTTACACTGCCTACGACGAACATTACAACCAATGAAACTATGAAACGAAGGATACAATAAGTACTTCCTATGAATGCTGAACACTGCTTGTCAAACTGTAAAATGCCAGGACATTACAGTAAAATTAAGGGGCATAGTTGGCTGGAAGGTATTATTCCAAGCCATAGAAACTTTTTAAAACATCTTTATTAAAAATGACATCTAAACCTCAGAGATAGCTAACGCATTTAAATGAAAACCAATCCAAATAGCATGGAAGAGTGAACAAACTTACACATTCTCCAAAACATTTCTTTGGGTATTCTCCATGTTGAAAGTTCTGGATGGATTTTAAATTTTTCTACACTGATTGACCACAACAAACTTTTCAATCAAAAACTTTGGAATCATTTCAGTGCTTAAAAGTTTTTGCATTTACAATAAATAATACACACTTGGTCCTCACATACATAAAGAAAGCTTATTTGTCATGTAACTCTGTGTGCCAAAAGATTAAGAGTCTGCCAAATATTAAAGAGACCAGGTGCAATTATTGGATCACCATAATTTTGAGAAACGTGGGAGAAGTCAAATGATTTTTGGGCAACCAAAAAGAACATTGTTAACTCCGAAGGCTTACATTTGCCTTGTGTTTATTAACTGCTCTGCATTTGCTAGCAATCCACTTAAGGCGACCAGTGGGAAGGAATGAAAAAGTACCTGAACCGAATAGCTTCTTCGAGATAAAACAACCACTGTTATATACACAAAGCTGACTTTTTCTAAACAGAACACAAATGAATTGCTCTTGACTTTGCTTTGCATTTGGTCTCTGAACAAGAGAAAAAGTTTAGTGTTTCTTTTTTTTTTTTAAAGGTACAGTCTTGGCCTGCAGCCTAAATATGCTTCATATTGAAAGCAGACAAGGATTCCATTTCATTCACTGATAACTGTGGGAAAATGCTTCCAAAAGCATGCAAAGTTGGGCAAGCAGAGGCTTGTGCCCCATCTTGCAATGAATGGCCGGTTTCTTTTTTTTCTCTTTTACAGCACTCATATTTTATTACCACTCCATTACAGGCTTTTTTCCTGAGTCACAACTAAACAGGAATAATCTTTTTTTAAAAAAAAGACTGAAGTACCTTATTAATATCATTCCTTCTCGTGCCACCTCCCCCCTTTGTCCCTATCTTTCGGAAACCCAAGATACCAGCATCAGTATATAAATATACATTAAGCTTCATGGGCAAGCAGTTCTACCTGTCAAGGCACCCTTCTTCCTTGGATTAATTGCAGCAATATTCAGGCCCTGGCAGTGCAGAGAGGCACAACATGTTAGAGCAAGCTGGAAGCATACCACACATACAAAACAAAACAACAAAACAAAGAAACAATTATGCCCACTCATGCTACCTCTAGTTAAGAGGATGTTTTCATTGCTGGCTTGCACAATCATTTCAGAAGATACCCTCCTCAAAACAGTTCCTGCTCCTCTTAGCATTGTTGGCCAGCATGTTTCACTGCAGGATAATATAGCCACAAGGGCTACGGTTGCTGTACTATCCACCACACCACACCACATTTTAATGCTGCTCAAGTCTTGTTTGTATGCTCAATTCAAGAGAGTCACTTTCATGGTATTGTTTTATCCTTTGATTTTTTTCTTTGATCTGAGAGTGATAGTGGCCCCGGGCAATCCTATTAGGCAAAAAGGTATTTAAGTGGGAGAGTTTTGAGTGTGGCCATTTAAGAGCTTGCATGTAGTTAGCAAAAGCATTTGGGGGGGCAGGGGGAATTCACCTGGCCTAGTGAAAGGACTCATTTTTGCACATTTTGTTTTATAATTAACACAGCAGCCTGATTCCCATGTATGTTTGGCCTGATCCGTTTTAGTTGTCAGGGTCAGGAAAGTCTCCAGTAGCACCCAATCGGAGATTTCTGCTTTAAAAGTCATGTGCCACCAAGACATTAGAGAGTTAAGAGGTGTGCATCAATCCCCACTCCATAGATCAACAATTAAGATAGCCGAGGAATGCAGGCATACAGCACAGAGGCTTAATTTTTTCCCATGCCATGCCTGACCTTTGCACATCTTTGAATAAATACACCAGTCAGACACAAGGAATTCCACATCTTGAACCTTATCCCATCAAGTCAAGGTACTAGGCAACAAGTAGGCAGGCAGCTACGAGAGAAAGTCACATCCAGTTCACTAGTGCAACTCTATCCCTGGCCAGCCAGAGACAAAGAGGCTTCCATACAATTAGAGGAAAAGAAAACCACGTATGCCTGAAGTTTAGGCTTGGGAACCATGAAAACCCCTTGCATGGTTTATTCAGAATCAAAAACCCAAAGCAAGCAGCCCCCCAAGGCATGTAATACGAACCTTCAGAAAGGAAGGAATGGGCTCCTGCTACTATTTAACAGGCCAGTTCTCATCAGCCAGCCACACCGTCTCTGGCCACTACCATTTCAGGCTTACCAGGGGAGGACGGTGTGATGATGAAGCTGCCCCACCTGTAACCATCTTATAAATGTCAGACATAAGGCCAAGGAAAGCCCCCTTCTCTAAACTCAATGGTTTTCCTTGTGATGCAAAATAGATTGGGAGAGCCAGTTATCAAGCATCCAAAACACAAGCTTACTATTGATCACATTTCTGATTTCTGATATTAGAAGTAAAACTTAATATCTGTAAGAGCCAGGTATCCAGTCCTTTCGTGGTTCTCTTTTGCTGAGTGAATTTGCTCTTCCTGGGCAAATACTACGTTGTCCCCTCTCTGCACCGTTTGCCAGCCATCCCAAGGCACACGGATATTCTTTCAGCAATCAAGACTGCTTGTTCAAGTCTGTCTCTAGTTGGGGCATACTGACAAGAGGAGCCTTGCAATCCTGGTCATTACTTTAAAAAGCCGGCTTTCCGCTCTTCAGAGCAAGCCATGTTGCTACGAAGAGGTTTCCTCAGGTCCTGGTGACAATTATGAACGTAATCATAGAGATTAAATGATTTGCCGCTTGCCTTCTTCCATTTTTAAAAATTTCTTACTCTAGTTTACAACCTGGAGATTCCCTAGCCAATCTTCACCAGCACTGATGCTGTTTAGCTTCCGACCTCAGCCTCCAGCTACCCTGGGCTGTGATTCTGGATCAGTGTAAAATGTGTAAGGTTAACACTTAGAATTGGTAACCCAAAATTTCTAGAACGTGCCCATTACCTACTTCTAGTTTGCAAATCTTCCTGGGCTCCTGCACGCATATGACAGTTTGAGTGACAACAGTTTTGATATTTGTTTAAACTGGGGCAGGCCTTTTATGTCCTGGCATCCAATGAAAATGCATACTTGTTAGGTTCCCACGGCCATAAAACTGACCCCTACCTCTTCCTTCCTTAGTTAACTACACACTCCTAGCCCAAGTATATAACCTCAAGAATACAATCGGATTCCCTGGGGTGAGAAAAGCTTACATCAATGGATAAAAGAGGATTTTTTTTTTTAAGGCTGCAATTCAGAAAAACCTTCTGAAACAGGTGCCATTTATTCTCTCTTTTCCCAAAGAAAATTGTTTTGTCCCATTTTGGGAGGGGGAGAATTGCAGTCATGATATAATCAGAAATAATTAAAAGGCACAGGAATGCCTGAGCAAACCAGAGAATTTTAGGA